ATATAGAATATATAAATATTCCAAAAAATTATGATAATTTTTGAAAGATATATAGATAATTAGCTATTAATTTCGTCAATAAACTATTATGTGTTAGTATAGTGTGATTAATGTTAAGTAATCGACTATTAAGGGTTCGTTTTGGAGCTATACTCATTATCTCACTCAAGGATGTTGACTGATCACTTCCTTAGCGATTACTCGGAAACTGATACGTGGGAATATGTATGTTTATTCTTTGTTATTAGCCAATATAATTAGTTATCTGAGCCGTCAATACGATTCTGACGGGTTCATTGTTATTTTTATAGTACTTTTTATCTTTATGTTTTTTTTTATAATTCAATTATGGCGCGCACTTGATTGTCTATGGTTTTGTTCAAGTAGGTTGTTACACGAGCTGTAAGTAGGTATCTACGTTGGGGAAACACTGTTAAGTTTTTAGAATGTTTTTCAAATTGTAATAAAATTCGATATTTGAATTTAGTTACTGCAAATAAAATTTACATAGGCATCTCATAGATAAAGAATAGTAGATACATACTATAGAAAGAGAATTCCGGGTATTATTATAAATCTATGCTTGAATAAATAAAAATCCATAGATTATATTTGAAAATAGCTTTGATGAACACAGATAATAAAGTTTACTATTCATTTCGAACCTGTTACAACGGATATCAAAATAATCGACAACGATAAACGTATTTAAGTTTCCCACTGACTGGCAGGATATAAAAAAAAAATTAGAACGTCTCAGGGAGCGATTTCTGTATCAATATTATTGAGTAAATATCTCGGGGGCTGCTAAATTCCGTATCTCGAATCGTTTAGCGGGTACATGAGACCGGCTCGGGACGAAAGTGGGACGGATTGGTAAAAAAAAGAGGTGCGGACCTCCTCCCGTTTTGTGGGAACTGTTTGGTGGTATTCTTGTATGTATTTGGATTTCTGGGTAAGTGGGTATTGACGGGTCATCTAATATGTACATACATAGGTGTGTTGAATGCTCGAGTGTGTACATATACCTATTTGTTATGAACTAATTCATTTTCCTATGATTGTCTATGTAACTAAGTACCTATTATTATTTGCAGAGTAAAATTTCTCATTTGGCGGAGCAAACAAGAGAGGTAGACAAGTTTTCACAATCTAAATTCAAATATCTTTAATCTAATGTGTTAACAAGGCCTGGATAAAGGGCCTGCAACGTGCAACACTTTCCAACAGTCGGGCCGTAAGCTACATGGGTGGCAATGTATCGTCGTTGTATAAAAACCATAAAAGCACTCACATAAAGAGAGTAAGTTCATGAAATCGATGCGTTTTTTTTATTGCCTTCACGAGGCGACGGCCAATCGTCCTTTGAGACTTTGAACATGTTTTCACAGGCTGTCTCTAAGAAAAACGTTAATTACTAACATTGTTGTTTGAACGCCACTTCCTCACAACTACAGTCATCGTTTTATGTCCATTTGAGTGGAATTGAGACGTTGCCCGCTTGTGGTCTCACGTGTTCCGAATGACAGATCTTTTAAGTTTGTTCCTGATGTTACTGGTTAGTTGATTAAAATTATTTTAAAGTGACTTCAAAAGGAAATAGCTTCTCAATTCGGTTGTACTCTTTGTTTTTTCTTTTTCTTTTTATCTTTGTCACCTCATAACTCTGCCAGTTCTAAACCGATTTGGGACTTTTTCTTTATTTTCATTTAAAAGCTACAATTTGTGAACCGATTTTGATAAATTTTCTACGGGAGCCATCTGTAAAAATATTCTTTCAAGTAAAAAAGAATTTTCCAAAAAGGTTTATAACTAACGGAGTTATAATTGGTAATAAACATTAAAAAAAATATAACCGAATTAAGTACCAACTTTTTTTTAAAATCGTTTGAAAATATTTGAATTTAGAACGTTAAATTATATTAATAAATTAATGAAGAAGTCGATAGGGAATACGTATTCATACGAAAGAACCTAAACGGTCTAAACTCTCTCGAACACTCAGGCTGTGAAATAAATTCCCTGCCGAGGTTTTCCCTACAAACTACAGTATGGGGTTTTTCAAAAAGGGTGTATTACGGTTTCTTCAGAGTCGGCAACGCGCGCGTGACACCCATGGTGTTGCAGGCGTCCATAGACTACAGTAGCTGTTTACCAACAGACGAGGTGTAGGCTCGTTTACCAATCTTGTGATATAAGGGGGAAAGGGACTGTTAGTAATGGAGATTGAGAATCCCATTGCTAGCAATATATCCAACCAGGTCGACCTCCGTCGGTCGGTTCTCCCTGGAAACTATCATGGTTAATTCCTGATGAATTCATCATGATGGGCTAACTGATCTGTTTTCATTCTCATCTTCACTGGTGCTCCGCCAGCGTATCCCGGTAGCGCAGGCGGGGTTACCATACCATTTTCATCCATCAAAAAACTTGTGATATAAAAAAAATTGCATAGTAATAAACAGTCTTTACTCATCAAAGAAGAACTACAGTTTTATTCGTCATAATTTTTTTTTATACAACTTAGAATGGCAACAAGCTGGCGGTCCACCAGATGGAAAAAAAATAACCGTCGCCTATAGACATGAGCAGTACCATGGACATAACAGAGTATACTGTTTCCATGATACCCCCCATGCGTTGCCATTCCTGAGGACCCAGGTGTTATTCCTCTGTACCCAGTAAATTCACGCCGTATCCCACCCTTTAAACCGAAATACAGCCATGCAAACACAACTGCTTCACGGTTGAAACACGAATGGGACAAAGGTACCCAAGCAATCGACTGTTGTACAAAAAATAACAATATTAAATCAACACGGGAGTAGACTATCGATTGCAAAGACAATAATTTTATTTTTTATTTACTCTAAAAATACAGCCGTATTTAAAACGTTCTTTTTGAGATTTTTTTTTTAAAATAATTTTATCGTTGTAAGGAAATAATACTGTCTATGTGTAATACAAAGCTAAGGCCAAGGAAGTGTAGATAAGTTTCTAACGTTACAGCCTCTAGCGCTGTTATCAGTCAAAGGTAGGGCCTGCAAACAGCCAGAGTACACTGTGAAAGTGTGATTAGCATGATTACACTGTGAAATCACTTGCGCGGTATTATTTTTGCTGCACTACAACTTGATTAGTTAATTTTATTTTACAGTGAAATATTTGCTTTGCCATGTTTATTTTGGTTTACAGTTATTGCAGTTTAAACTTATGGTTACTGATGCAGGATTCTTTGTTCGTTAAATACTCGTATAAGTGTTTAGACGTGAATAATTTAAATGCATTTCCTTTGACTCGTTTTGTGTCAAGTTTTGTTATACACAGTTGGAATTAGTTTTTTTATGCAACTTTAAATGGCAAACAAGTTGACGGCCCACCTGATGGAAAGTGGTAACCGCCGTCTGCAGACATAGATAGATAGATAGATACTCTTTATTGTTTCCAACAATCAGTGACGATGAAAGCAGGTCAGTTAGCCCAGTGACGAATTCCACTAGAAATAACCACAATGGTTTCCAAGTCTAGTTGGAGGTCGACCTGATGAAGGTGTATTGCTAGCAATGGGTTCATTAGACCCCATTACTAACAATCCTTTTCCCCCCGGCAACTGCAGTTAGGTACTTTCAAAAGGGTATCGCCATTTTTATATTCATTGATTACTACCACCGAGTCGTTGAGTGACTTGTACTTATTTCGTAAATACATTAATTATTATGAGCATAAATTGTTAATATTTAATAAAATATATATAAAATAATTAAATACAATAAGTATAAAATTTAGAAAGTATTTTTACATTTATTAATTGAAATATTTTATAACGCATTTTAAAATAAACACTGATTTGATGTATGTAGAAAGAATCACTGACAAGATGGCGGCTCATTTTGGACACAAAGTTAATATGTAACATTATTAATCAAGCTTCGATGGTGAGCGAGCATAGACAAAGCTAACGTACGCGTTAATAAACTTGATAAGTTATCACCAGTTCGTTCACCTCGGTTGTTTGAGCGAGATTAACAGTGTTTGTACTGTTGAAGCGCTAAGCCTTGACTGTGGTCGGAGCACGGTGACTATTATTGTTGATGTTGAAATTTACATACATAGCTTTTCCTTGTGCATTTTATAACAGTGGCAGTACGGAGGAGACGCGGAGTGAGGGGCGGAGGAGGGGGGGGGGGGAGTAGTGTCAGAAATTAATAGTTGATTGTATAAGAAAAAGAGTTCGCAGTATCCCAATACCGATTTAGGTTCAGATAATAATTTAGTATTATTGAACAGCTTAGAATTTTTATCTCTGTACGTTCCATGGTTCTTTTGGGAAACGTTCAGTTTGTCTTATTTATATTTAATTTAAGGTATAAAGGTATTGGAAATAATATCATCAGCCTATCGACCTCTATAGACTGAAAGTGTGATATCACAAGTCTATTAGGATTGTGGGCATGCCCATCGTGTCCACAATAGTGAATCCGCGCCTGACTAGACAATGTCTAGTAGGAGATTTAAGAAAAAATAATATGAAGTGTCCTAATAAAAGCATTTGTAGTCAATTTTTTTTATACAACTCAGAATGGCAAACAAGCTGACGGCCCACCTGATGGAAAGTGGTAACCGTCGCTTATAGACATGAGCAGTACCATGAACACAACAGAGTACACTGTTTCGCCCATGATACCCCCCATGCGTTGCCATTCCTGAGGATTCAGATGTTATTCCTCTGTACCCAGTAAATTCACGCCATGCAAACACAACTGCTTTACGGTTGAAACACGAATGGGACAGAGGTAAACAATAACTTTTAAAATTTCTATTATATTTGTTTCGACACCACGCATAATATATTGCACGTAATTGGATGCGGTTTCACCGTTGCATTTCTGAACGTCTTATGTTTTAGTTTGGTATTCCGAAAATTATAGTAACTTACAAAAGCTCGTTGGTAAATAAGTTTCAAGTTTGCTAGTACAAGTTTAAAACATATCTCCACTCACCTAATTTCTCTCTTAATGTCGTCATAGTCCCTCTGGTTGTCGAGCCTCGCCTCCAACCTGGCTATGTGCTGCTTCTTCTCATCCAGTCGCTCTTCGAGCCGCTGTAGTTTCTGCGCATGCGCCTCCTTCAACGCCGCGATGGACGCTTGCAACCGTCTCACCTCCTCCACTAGTTGAGCAATCTGGAAACAAATGAAAAATGTTAGGAATTGTACAATTGATATGAAGTATTCAATAGTAGTTCAGTAATATAGTTCTGAAAAAAAAACTGTTTATAAAATGTGTGATTGTATTCCGTTTGTTTCCATTTTTAAATTCTCTAGATGGTGATGTTCAGGATATCGTAAGAGGTGAATGAGGGGACAAAGTACATCAATGTGTCAGGATAGGGAAAAATGAAATGAAACCATGTGCCGAATCCTAGTGTGTTGTGACGACCATTCATTTGTTACGATTCCTAAGCACAAAGATATGCCTTCTTTCTCAACAAATGCACATCCTACCCGTCATTTTAAAATAGTCATGCGAGCATAGACATGGGATAGAATTATCCATGCAGATTAATTTTGTACATGTTGTTACTCTGTAATAGTTAATATCATAAACGTAGAAAGAAAATGTCAGGTGTTATCCTTTATCTATGGGCGTAAAGAAGTAAAATTGATATTGATGTGTATGTAAGATGGATACAGGATACTGGAACTTTTAAATCATTTAAAATTTATTACAGAAATATCAAGTTATGTATTTTATCCCTGATTGACGTAAGTGTTTTTTTCCATTACCCATAGAAATGTTAGAGAACACAGTCAAAACCGTAGGATTTTCTTATACAAAATACATAATAGAAATGAACTGTTGAAGCGTATTCGTAAAGAAGACTACTAAAAATAAATGAAATGAAATAATATAAAAGTTTTTCGAAATATTGCACTAAATGAATGACATATAGCTGAAACTTTAATTCTATTAGCAATCCCAACTCATAAATCTAATTTACTTTAATGGAATATGGTTCTACTAATTTTATTCGAAAAACTTTATATACGATAAGCAGTATTATAATGTTTAAAGTAATTAATTAATTAATTAGTCGATCGTCATCGATATTTACATTGAATAATAACGGAAAATCCAAAGTTATAAGTCGTTAACAATCTTAATTATATACCAAGACCAATACAACAATACAAATACGTATAATAATGCGCGGAAAACCATTTTACGTCAAGCAAATTGAATTACATATGAAATAAGGTAATATCTTTCATACCATCTACATATTTGGTAACCAACAATTAAGCGATAAGGTTTTTTTCTCAATAAATTTCTCTTAAAGAGAGTTTTAATATAAATATTTTTTTTTATACCACTGAGGTGGCAAACAAGCATACGGCCCACTTGACGGTAAGTGGTTACCGTAGCCTATGAACACCTGCAATACCAGAGGTATTACGCGTGAGTTGCCGACCCAGAAGAAGCCTCTTTACCCCCATTTTGAAGAACCCCATGCTGTAGTCTCTTGGCAAAACCTAATTTCAACCAATATCTAAATATCTTTATACCGTGCAATTTTGACTTAGAATAGGCTATCCCTTCCTTTCCCGTGGGTGTCGTAAGGGACGTCTAAGGGAACTTAATGGCCAAGAGATCGACTGCAGCGTTTCTTTTAAAACACCACCAAATCCTAACTGCGAGTGCAAACCTCAGGCAGGTTAAACATGGCAACTACTGGTAAATTTCCTGTTATGCGGAAAGCCTATGTCCAGCAGTGGACAGTTAACGGCTGAAATAATAATAATAAATCCCAAAATCAGCTAAACAGTGGGCTTCGAGAGGAAGGAGGTAAGAGACCAGTTATGATAATGGATGATGAAAGAGATGTATGCAAGAATAGAGGTTCTAGCGATGATCAGAATACAGATTGAGAAATCACAAAAGAATATACGTTAGATAATTTTAAAACTGAAGGTAATAAAGTACGGATTTGTACCTACGACACCATATAAACATTAGCAAGTAACATTTCCGTTTAACAATTCTATTCATAAAATCCGTATCGACAATGTGTAACATTAGCGACCTTGCGGCTTTGTAATAAGGAATATGAATTGATGTAATCGAGGTTGCCAACGTGTTATTTGTCGACCTTCGGTGGATATCAATTGTTGCAGCTGAGGTGGAGGCGCTCAGCCGTGAAGATACGTATCGTCGAAGATAGATGCGACGGAAATCACGCGCTGCTATCGTGCTCCGGCCTGTTAGAATGTCATGCGTCAATGGGAAGATGATTCTGATGATGAGACTAAGTTGGATTGTAGATAGATAGATACTCTTTATTGTTTCTTCCAAAAAACTACAATAGTAAACCAATTATAAACACAAACAATTACCAGAAAAGATTATACTGTGAAAACAATGGGCGGTAACAAATTTTTATAATATTTTATTAATATCATAAACATGAATGCTTGTATGTTTATTATGTTATCATCTTTAAATAGCTGAACAGATTTTAATGAAATTAAGTACACGAGCAGGTTATATCCCAATTTAACATATAGGTTTCTTTATATGCTGATTTACTAGCTAGTTATTACTAATCATGTAGTAAAAGTGTTTATCAGACTGTCTAAGTTCTAATATTTTACTGTTCACATGATTGTTTAGAGACATTACCCATAAAAGTTTACTTTTTACAAATAAGGCTTTTTTAAACAACGACAGACAATTCTCCCGATGGTAAGTGGTTACCAGAGTCTAAAGACGCTTTTTAACTGACTTCATTAACATTAGGTTTGCCATGTAACACGCATATGGTAATTCAGAAAGGATTTTATTTTTAAATACTTGGTCTGTTGTCTGGGCCCCATCGATTAGAATAGTGAATATGGAATAGTTATTAGTATAGATATATATTATATATTTGTAAAGTTAATATTGATTCATTGTAAATAAATTATTTCTTTCAACTATTTTAAAATTTAAATTGGAATGTTTCATAGAATATTAGGAATTATAAGGCTGTTCTTGGAAATCTATATTTTTAATAAAAAACATTTGTTTATTATAATTATGGGAATAAATGGTTAATTTCGAACATACATACACCGGAGGGAGACTTTGTACAAAGGTCGTTTGCTTGGACACCTTTGTCATATTCGTGTTTCTACCGTGATACAGTTATGTTTGCATGACTGTGTTTCGGTTTGAAGGGTGGTATATGGCAGTGAATTTACAGGGTACAGAGGAATAACACCTGAGTCCACAGGAATGCAACGCATGGGGGGTATCATGGGCGAAACAATATACTCTGTTATGTCCATGATACTGCTCATGTCTAGAGGCGACAGTTACCACTTTCCATCAGGTGGGCCGTCAGCTTGTTTGCCATTGTAAATTGCATAAAAACAATAAAATAATACATTATTAGTTTTGAGTCATTGGAAGAGTTATGTAAAAATCCTTAGTTATGAACACAAGGTCAAATTTAATGATTTTGTTATGTGGATGATCCGCAACAGCTCTAAGGCATTGACAAAAGCCAAATGAGTAATGATCTATTTTATAAACTTTTTGTTCAGTTACTCTGCTAATGATCGGTGATCGTTGATTTGTACTGAAGACGTTTCCTCCAAGAGCAAACCATTAGTGTTGATCACATTCGACTTTACAATGCTATCGATAGAGTAGATTTTCTAACGACTCATCTAATTTCCAAACTCATTAATTGTAATTGAGAGTGGCTGTTGTAACTGAAGCATAAGGTCCAATGTCGTTTGTTGGCGTCCAATGCCTTGACATCGATATCACATACACACACGCGACAAATACATAATGCTATTGTAAATATATCTTTGACGAGACCTTGAATATTTGACTTATAACGTAAAACACAGTAATAAATCTTAGGTTAGGTTTTAAGCCCGTAATGATGTTATAAAATGACGAAATCGCTATAATCAAATAATTATATGTTAATTACCACGGTATAGGACATTTACGATGAAAATATATTATCTGGGACTAGCGAGATTTACATGTTTATAATATTGCTAACGTATTAAGATAAATGTATCTCAGGTACACAGTAAGGCTGTGATGTGTTGCATTTCATTCCAATGTACATCTCACGGTGTTCCAGTTACAATAAAGGAATTACTCCTATTCTGTATGGCAATCCATGTAAACACATATTCGTCCATTCAAATAGTACGTCGCCACCATAAAAAGTATTAGCCGAAACGAAATTTTCCCGGGACAGAGCCGCGAGTAATTATTGTCTTAATTCGGCCCTGCCCTGACCGCTATTAATATGGTGGTGCAAGTGACAGGCTGTAGCAAGTGTTGTAGGCGATAGTAAAGACTACAGTTTTAACACAAATCGTAGAGGATGAGCTGGGTTTTCCGTTATAACAATGGCCGATTGACTATCATTGAAAATAGTAATTAATTCCTCTGTAGTACAAAAGAGTTCAGCGATAACTGTAAAAAACACGGCTTCGTTTGAAGCCGTTATAATTGTAATTCTTCGGCTGTTGATGTCATATTGAACAATCATCCATGTATGGCTAAAATCTTTGGCATTTCCATCATTAATTTGCAAATAATAAATCAAGTGGTGAATTTACTTAATTAACAATTTTTTCGTCTTCCCACCCACTCGAGCATCCAATCTGCGTTGTTCATTAGATTTATGGAGCTTGAAGTACGCTTTTTTAAACACTTCCCCGTTTTGAAGTGTGGATAAAATAATTTATAAACACTTCGTTACTGTTCGGTTTCTGCAGATCGAAAAACACGATCGTATAAATCGAAGTAGCGGTGTGGAATAGCTTCTGTGCAAACCGAAAAAATGTTACCCCGAGCACTAAAAATATACGGTCCAGAACGGTTAACGATTCAGACTACATATGCAAGGCATTTTAATGATAGGATGTGGCAACATTGTTCAGTTTATTGTATCGATTACTTATCTTTTAAGTATATTGAAGCGGCGTAATAAGTTGAAAGTATATTTTCTTATATGATTTTACGTAATTATGTTCCAATTTCGCCTAGTGTACTTTCAATATTCATTCTACTAAGTAATACATTTTCCGTTATATAAATTTTTTCAAGATTCATTTGTTAAATTTGAAATATAAATCTTAAAAAACAGATTGTAAAGTACATTTTTGGG